CCTGGTTCTCACATCCTCCATCGTCCTCCTGAACTTTTTGTTGATGCAGACATGGTCGATTTGACCGAATCAATATGAGACAAATAAATTATCAACAATCGGAGATACTGGAGATCTTATGGCTACTCCATTTTCCGATTGTTATTGACTTATGTCGCTTATTTTTGCTTGTACCATGAAACCACGCATCTGACTCAGATAAGTAGACAAAAAGCCTAATAATCCTGTAGAATCGCAAAATGTAGAGGTTAAATCAGCAAAGCAGTACATCCTATTTTCAGTAATCAACAAATTGATATTAAAAATATCAAATTAATTCAGAAACGTTTTTGCAACTACGAACAGAGGCGAGTAGCCGAAAAAGTTTCATATTATGTTAAATCCCTCTGCACTCAATAGGAAAGAAAACCTGAATATTCATCCAACCCGGACTGTTTATTCAAACAACCACATCTGATCGTATTTATTTTCCACACAATCTAAACACACATTTAATTTTAACCCCATTGCTTTATATTGTAGATACATACATTTATCAAACCAACATTCTGATGCACAAATTAATAGTGTCAGGTCATAAAAACCCACCCTAGCCAAGAATAGCTTGACATTGGCATACTCAAACCTATTATACTTTTGATTATACTAACAAGGTTCTGCATTGTTTCCTTTGTCCAATTTAAACTTTTGTCAGTCTTTTTCGGTTTAATTTGAAGAAGTTGCTTACAATAAGTCACGAAACATCATAAATACAGCTTTCTACTCATTGGGATATCACAAAAACATAGATTTACTATCCATACAATAGATATGTTCATGTTATATCCTGTGGAGAATTATGAATGGTAACGTTGAGAACTATTTATGGACCAATATGATATGTATATTTCCTATTCTATAATTGTTAAGTAGTTAAACTATTCATATTCGTGTCCCTCTTATCACAAGCTTTATTTTGACCCATAGATTATTACTATACGATTTACTACTCTTGAGTTATCTCCAGTCTATTAATTACTGTCCCTTCACCTATTCACAGCCACATTTGGTCAAATCTTGTACAAATGTTATTTTCTATTTTATAGTACGATGTGGTCAGTTTGTTTGGTATATAAACCCAGTATGTTTGAGAACAATGATTCATATTTCAGAGCCTATTATTGGTGTTCTGGAATTAACTGGCTGGGCTAGGCAGAAAGCAGGACTGATAAGTACTCAAGACCACTAATACGGTTTTTGTGTATCATTGAGCGATCAATAAATTCACTGCTCTCCAATTGGCGGTCTTATCACGTTCATATATATCAAACAGGGTACTCACCCAATCGATATAACAGTTCAATTAGATTGTTAACCAATTTTGCAGTATAATCTCACATAAACCTGTAATATCAATCAGAAGTAACAATCAATATTAGGAAACAAAACAAAATTTTATATTTATTAAATGCTCATGTCATTTCCTTCTTTTACATTCTGAATTCTATGGGAACCATTAAGCTTCTCAATAATATAAATATGTGTATAGAAAAATATTATAAATATATTTTCATTATTGTACAAAAGCATAAACTGTAGGTCATAAATAGAAAAAAAGTGATCCATATAGAAAAGAAGTTAATATCATTACATTGTATTGTATTGTACTCTATTCTTTCAGTTCATATTATTACACATCTGAACATAAATAATTTGACCAAATAGTCATTTGATGTATTCTGCGATGATTGGCGGTCTTATCAGTAGGTTGATATTTTCCTGAATGTCTTTGTTGTAAAGATGGTGATGTTGATTGGATCTGTGATACACTTGTATTATATTGATTATCTATGTTTGTACTAAAATCTTCTTGAATTTTATTAGATGAAGAAGCATTTATAGGAGATTTTGTATTATTATTATGTAGATTGTATAAAATAGAAATTGAATTAGCCAACGATAATAAACCATCAGCATTTTGAGGATTTATAATGGATTCAGTGGAAAATAGATATTCCTGTTTTTATAAGAACATTTTCATAAAGAAAAACAAAACAAGAAAATAAGTTCATTTATAGATTGTTTCTCCTTTTTTTCTTGTTTAAAATATAAAACAAACATTATTGCCTAGATTTCTATTGTTCTTTTCAATGGCATATTTACTCTAATTGATCTGATTTATTCTACAGTGTGGTGTTGGCTACTTATATAGACATCAGTAGTATATAATGATATTCATACATAGAATGTATTTCAGTCGAAGATCGATAACGGAAGAACGGGAACGAAACGCAATTTGTATAAAAATGCATGAACAGTAATAATCAGAGACGATGGACTGTTATTTGCAGAAGGAACAGTCAAGATTGAAACAATTGATTGATAGTTTGCAAATTAACTGTTTATTGTATTATTATCAGATTTTAGTGAGATAGTCTGTAATTTTGTGTCTAGATACATTCGATTGTCCTCACTCATCTTCTTGTTCACTACAACAGTGAAACACACTTTGTTTTCAAGGCGGAATTTCCAAGTAGAATTATAAACTATGACACTTGTTTTTGTCATATTTGTTATTACATTTCATTTATAAACAAGTAAGGTATATTACAGGTAATTTTCTAACATAAGGATTTCATCTATTTAAGAAATAATGTAGACTATCAACAAGATAAATAATAAATTAGAAAACTTATTTACAAAGTATATAAGCCACTTTCAACTAAATAAAACGAGTCTTATTCTTTACTGTTAAATTTGTATTATTTCTGAATCTTTAAAAAAAACGTAAATAGCTAAGTAACCAACTTCAAATAACTAGGATGTTATTCATGCGTACAATCATAAATTTATTGAATTTGTGATATAGCATAACCATTCAATGATGCAATCCTGAAAAGTCCCAAATAGGACGAAATGCGCGTCAAACTGGATTCCACTGCTAGCCACTATCCATCTCTGCTTATAATGTTTGTGAATTGAGGCTATATCGAGGCAATACGCACGGTATGCACGTATGCCAATTAGAGACTGATCAATTGCAGTCCTAAACATCAATGGGAAGATTCGAACAAACAATACTAAGTGAACTTTCAAGCATTTGTTCGCTATATAGTTCGAACGACATAGTATAAACAAAATATCCAAGGAAATGGAAACTAAAATTCCTTAAGATAGAAGACTCTTAGAGAACGTCATCATGGATATTCTAGATTCCGAAAAATAAACAACTCATTTTTAACTAAGATTATTTATAATCTTACTTTAGGTACACCATAACGATATATTGCAGCACGACAACGTCTTAAATTTCGACGATAAGATTTGACTACTTCATTTAACATATTATTACGTTGATCATTTCTAGGTAAACAGATCTAAATCAAAATGGGAATGAATTGAAATTTTATGAAAGAACAATATAAATGAAACAAAATTCTAAGAGGGATTCATGATAAGTTAGACTTTAGTAATGTTTAAATGGTTAAACAATAAAAGATGTATAAAATGAAATCTATTGAACTGAATGTATACAGTGGGTAATTTTACAATATGAGGAAATTAAGAAAATGAAAATTTGTTATGACCTTTAAAATAATAGGAAGGCCGTATCCAATTCGTTACGATTTTATGTCCGGCTTTTTATCACGTGAATTATCCACCAATCGAAATAAGACTTGTGTAATCTTAACACTGTACCAAATCAATGACGTTCAATCAGTATGAGCAGTCTAGTGTCCTTACTGGTCCCTTGTCCGCTTAGTCCTTCCAATTGAGTGCAGAACACCGATTGCAGCTTCTGCTATGCGAATAACTTATTTCAAATATATATATATATATATATATTGGCATATAATTCCCATTTAACATTAAAATTAAAAACACGAATTTCAGCGAAGGGATCTCTTTTCAACGAATTTATTATCAAGCTGTACAATCGTATATATATATATGAAAAAGTTTTGTTAAAGTACTAATTCCGTGAGGAAATGTGAACACTAATAACCAAGATTATAATACTGGATCTTACTATATTCACTAAATCTATTGTTGTTATTCATATTACGTAATCCAGTATTATAATCTTGGTTATTAGTGTTCACATTTCCTCACGGAATTAGTACTTTAACAAAACTTTTTCATATATATATATACGATTGTACAGCTTGATAATAAATTCGTTGAAAAGAGATCCCTTCGCTGAAATTCGTGTTTTTAATATATATATATATATATATATATATATATATATATATATAGAATGAAACACCCATCCTTGATCCCACTGTCAGTCACTCTTCAAAGCTAATAAAACTTACTTGTCTTGATTGTTTGATTTTTTACATTGATGTTTAAGACTGCGACTTATCAGCTTCTTTCAGCATATGTGCACTTAGCACGAATTGCCTGGATGTCGCTACTTAGTCACAATCATTATAAACAGAGATAGAAGGTAACAAGCGGTGGAACCCAGGAAGCACGTTTTGTTTTATTTGAGACTTGCCTTCTATATATACCTGCTTCCCTAAATTGATATTCATTCTGGTATTCAAATACAGTGTCCGTACAGACTGTCTCGAAATTGTCATTAAATTACAAACCAGTAGATATCTGGACTCAGGAATTTAGTGGATAACGCGTTGGAGTTTGCAATGAAACGCAGTGCGTTCAAATACCGGTGTTTGAATCAACTCTGACGCAGGTACACTCACTTGACAAATCCTAAATAAGATGAAACATGCGTCTCAGATTCCGTCTCTGCTTAAGATACTTTTGATAGATATTGTTACGTGTAATAACAATTCAAACAACAACGATTAATTTTTATTTAAAGAATAGAGAATACAACTATTCTTCATTTAATGGGATAAACAATCAATTCAATTAAATGAATGAGTTACATATTAAAATAGACTCACTTTGATATTTGATGTTGTCCCAATAAATTTATTCAGTAATTGAATTAAAATAACACCAGTACTTAATTCAATAATTAAATGTTTTGGATTAATTGGTAGACGAATATTTAATTCTTTATCGATTATCTATGGAAATTATAATCAATATGAAAAGTTACATAGCAACTATTGAGAAATGAATAAAATTAAATAGAATCTGTTTTCAAAAAAAAGTTTTTCATCATTATTATGTCTAAATATGGAAGAGTATATACAAGGTATTAAGAAGAAATGGTTTTGATTTTTTAAAATCAATAAGATAATCTTCCATAGATCACTACTTTTCACCCAGTAAACGGTTAACATGATACCCATAAACGTTTTAATAAAGTGAGCTTTTTTTTATACAAATAGATGATACTTTAAATAAATGATAAGTTCAAAATGCCTTAAGATACCATCTGTAAGTAAAATTAAAAAGTTAAAATAGCAAATAAGATCTCTGAGAGTATGTAAAGACAAAACCAAAATAACTAAGACTTGACATGAAATCAACGAGTGGTACTGATATTGTAGCAAACCAGGACACGAGTGAGGACAATCGAATGCATTTAGGCACAAAAGTACAGAATACCTCACTGACATCTGATAATAAACAGTTAATTTGCAAACTACCAATCAATTGTCGCAATCTTGACTTTTCCTTTTACAAATATCAGTCCATCATCTCCAACTATTATTTTTCATGTATTTTCATAGTAATTGCGTTCTGTTCTCGTTCTTTCCTTATTGATGTTGTACTGAAATACATTCAATGCCCGACCATTGTTATATACTACTTATGTAGATATAAGTAACCCACACCACAATATCGAGGTAATATTCAAGGGTTTAGACATACAGATTGGTAGCTACATAATAAACTCAATTTATGGTTAAAAATCTAAAAAGAAATAGCCTAAAACTCGTTTCATATGGAATAACTATTCATCTACCCTTAAATTTGAGTTTGATGATTATTATCATTAAACACATTTAAATTCTTTAAACTTAATTCGTTTTACTCTAATCATGTTTTATGTACGTCTAGTGCATGTTTATCTTTAAAGTTTTTGTTATTTCAACTTCTATCTCTGGACGATGATTTGTGAATTTTTTAAGTTTGCGATCGGACTGATTAACGATATTCTTATAATACACAATCAAATCTACGTGAACTCAATGAAACGCACGACTGACAAACAACACGTACTCAATAATCTCAACGCAATGAAACGCAAAGATAAGTTAGGAGTTCAAGGGAAGCATAGTGCTCTAATGAAAAATTTGTAACGGAACAATTATTTACATGTAGCAATCAACAATGACCATGGGACAAAACAGAATTAGTAAATTAAAAGTGAGAACAGCTAATCAAAAACAGGAAAGGTTATTGTTAAAATATGAACTAAAAAAATGTTATTGCGGTTATCTATACATGTAAGAACCATCGTTTATTAGTAACATAACAGATAACAGAATCACAGCAACTTGGATAGGTCCTAGATCTCAATTTTGCCAGATCTTATGTTACTCTGTGAGGAAAGAAAATAAACTGGCAAAAAATAGAATCCATAATACTAGGAATTAAGGTATATATATATAGCTACTAGAAACAATGATGTAATCAGTATGTGTTAAGAACAAAAGAAGGAATTAACTCATTTTGACTTACTTTTCTTAATTGATTAATTATAATCAAATCATCAGAATTCAATTCCTCCCATTTAACGGTGTCTTTAGGTGAATTCATTTTCATATACTCCGATGTATTTATATTCCGAGTTTCATCTCTTCTACTGATATCTTTACTTGAATAACCAGTAGAAAATGCTACATTGGAATCTTGACAATGTGTATTTATTTGTGGTTGATAATTATGTGAAGTTTGAAAGTTTTTAGGTAATTTTAAAGTACATTCTGAAGGCATGCACAAAGCAACACCAACACGTGTTGCTTTACTAGATATATCTTTATCATATAAACCATTTTGATGAGGATGATATAATATTTGTGTATGATTTCTTTGTATAGCTAACTGTTCATCAATATGATATTGACTTAATTTTTGACAATCATATCCATTTGTTTGAGATATACTATAACTTTCTGATAAATATGAATCTGGTGTTATATAACCAGAACTACAATAAAATGTTCTATCATTTTCTATCTAAAATTAAATAGTGTCGTAATGAATATTGAGTATTGAGGATTTTCAAATAAACAATATAACAATCGGTAATGTTTTATATAAAAAAACCGTCAATATTTTAATGAAAACATTTAATGTCATGGCAATATATTTATTTATAACTCCGCCTGTAGCTCCTCTGGGGGTTGCTGCCGGTCCCAAGCCCGGGTAAAGGAGGAGGGTTGGGAATGGGGTTAGCGACCCCATCCCGTAGAAAATCAACTCGCTAAAAAAACGCTAACCAGAAAAAATTCAAACTCTGCCCTGGGAGTAGAAGGAATAATTATGACGTCTCATGATGAAAGCCGAGTTCCTTCGGAAGTCATGAGGCCGATGCACCTTCTTACAACCAGAGCAACAATTTTTATAGGTACATGGATTGTCCGAACAATGTGGGAGACCGCAAGAGTCTTCCAAATTGCTGCAGGAATGAGGAAATACAACCTGAAGGTGCTTGGAATCAGTGAAACACATTGGACGCAGGTTGGACAACAACGACTGTCTTCAGGAGAACTTCTGTTATACTCCGGTCATGAAGAAGAAAATGCCCCACATGCATAAGGAGTGGCATTGATGCTGTCCAGAAAAGCACAAAATGCACTTATAGGATGGGAATCTCATGGACCAAGGATCATCAAAGCCTCCTTCAAAACAAAGAGAGAGGGCATTACAATGAACGTCATCCAATGCTATGCGCCTACAGACGACTACGATGAAGACGCTAAAAACCAATTCTACGATAGGCTGCAGTCGATCTTCGAGAAGTGCCCAACCAAAGACCTGACAATTCTGATGGGAGATCTCAATGCCAAGGTTGGAAAGGACAACACTGGATACGAAGACGTCATGGGACGACATGGACTGGGAGAAAGGAACGGAAATGGTGAGAGATTTGCAAACCTATGTGCCTTCAATAAACTGGTCATAGGTGGCACCATATTTCCACACAAAAACATTCACAAAGCCACTTGGATTTCACCGGATCACACTACACAGAATCAAATCGACCATATCTGCATCAACAAAAAGTTCAGGAGGACGATGGAGGATGTGAGAACCAGGAGAGGGGCTGATATAGCATCCGATCATCATTTGCTGGTCGCCAAGATGAAACTAAAACTCAAGAAGCACTGGACAATGGCGCGGACAACATCACAAAAGTTTAATACGGCCTTTCTTCGAGATGCTGACAAACTCAACAAATTCAACATAGCCCTCAGCAACAGGTTCCAGGCCTTTCATGACCTACTCAATGGAGAGGGGACTACCATGGAGAGCAACTGGAAAGGTATCAAGGAGGCAATCGTTTCAACGTGTCAAGAGGTTCTGGGCCAAAAGAAGCACCATCACAAGGAATGGATCACTGTTGGTACACTGGATAAAATTGAAGAAAGGAGGAACAAGAAGGCAGCAATCAATATCAGCTGAACAAGAGCAGAAAAAGCCAAGGCACAAGCCGAATACACAGAGGCAAACAAGCAAGTGAAGAGGAGCATCAGAACCGACAAACGTAAATATGTGGAAGATTTAGCGATGAGAGCGGAAAAGGCTGCAAGAGAGGGAAACATGAGACAACTGTATGATACAACAAAGAAACTTGCTGGCAATCACCGTAAGCCAGAAAGACCAGTGAAAAGCAAGGAAGGCAAAGTAATCACCGATATTGAAGAACAGCGAAATAGGTGGGTAGAACACTTCAAAGAACTCTTGAATCGACCAGCTCCACTGAACCCACCCAACATCGAAGCAGCACCCACGGACCTCCCAATCGATATTGGCCCACCAACAATTGAAGAGATCAGCATGGCCATTAGACAAATCAAGAGTGGCAAAGCAGCGGGACCAGACAACATCCCGGCAGAGGCACTGAAAGCAAATGTAGCAGCAACTGCCAAGATACTACACATCCTCTTCAGTAAGATTTGGGACGAAGAACAAGTACCAACAGACTGGAAAGAAGGACTTCTTATCAAAATACCAAAGAAAGGTGATCTTAGCAAGTGCGACAACTACAGGGGCATCACTCTCCTCTCAATACCAGGAAAAGTCTTCAACAGGGTATTGTTAAACAGGATGAAGGATTCTGTGAACGCCCAACTTCGAGATCAACAAGCTGGATTTCGTAAGGATAGATCGTGCACAGATCAAATCGCAACTCTACGTATCATTGTGGAACAATCAATCGAATGGAATTCATCACTCTACATCAACTTCATCGACTACGAGAAGGCATTTGATAGTGTGGACAGGACGACACTATGGAGGCTTCTTCGACACTACGGCGTGCCTGGGAAAATATTCAATATCATACGGAACTCCTATGATGAACTAAACTGCCAAATCGTCCACGGAGGACAACTCACCGACTCGTTTCAAGTAAAGACCGGTGTGAGGCAAGGTTGCTTACTCCCACCGTTTCTCTTTCTCCTGGTCATCGACTGGATCATGAAGACGTCAACATCTGGAGGAAAGCACGGGATACAGTGGACAGGCAGGATGCAACTTGACGATCTAGACTTCGCGGATGATCTGGCTCTTCTATCACAAACGCAACAACAAATGCAGGAGAAAACGACCAGTGTAGCAGCAGACTCAGCAGCAGTAGGTCTCAATATAAACAAAGGGAAAAACAAGACTCTCCTATACAATACAACATACACCAATCAAATCACACTTGACGGAGAAGCTTTGGAGGATGTGGAAACCTTTACATATCTGGGCAGCTTTATTGATGAACACGGTGGATCTAATGCAGATGTGAGGACGAGGATCGGCAAAGCAAGAGCAGCATATTTGCAACTGAAAAACATCTGGAGCTCAAAACAATTGTCAACCAACACCAACCCCAGAATTTTCAATACAAATGTCAAGACAGTTCTACTGTATGGGGCGGAGACGTGGAGAACTATGAAAGCCATTATCCAGAAGATACAAGTGTTTATTAACAGTTGTCTATGCAAGATACTTCGGATCCAATGGCCAGACACTATCAACAACAGGTTACTGTGGGAGACAACAAATCAGATTACAGTGGAGGAAGAAATCAGGAGGAAGCGCTGGAAGTGGATAGGGCACACTTTGAGGAAATCACCCGATTGCGTCACAAGACAAGCCCTCACATGGAATCCTGAAGGTCAAAGGAGAAGAGGAAGACCAAAGAACACATTACGCTGAGAAATAGAGACAGACATGAGAAGAATGAACAAGAACTGGATAGAACTAGAAAAGAAGGCCCAGGACAGAGTGGGTTAGAGAATGCTGGTCGGCAGCATATGCTCCATTGGGGGTAACAGGCGAAAGTAAGTAAGTAAGCAATATATTTTATATTACCAGAAGGAGTTTTTGTGAAGATTTCAGTGCCTTCATAGTTGAAAGCGTGAGTTAATTGAAGTTAGACCACCAAGGAAAACCTGGAAGCATTGGACGGCCGTTTCGTCGCTTTGTCGGACTCCTCAGCATTGCGCACCCACGACCTTGCCTCGCAAGATTCAAACCCAGGACCTATCAGTATCGCACCAGAGCACTTAACCGATAGACCACTGAGCCGGCATCCGATGGTGTTAATATCTAACTTCAACCAATCCACGAAGTTAAGCAACCAATCACCAATTGTCTTCAGTGGTCTAGCTTCAGTTGACTGACGCCTTCAACTATGAAAATATATTTTATAGTTAACACATTGTTTAAAGAACTCCTAGTGAGAGTTTAAAATAGACTGATAATAAAAATCGACCAAAAAAGTTTTGAGTTTATTAAAGATAGCTATATTAACCACATATATTTGCAATTGAGATGCTTGTAAGTATTTATTATGACACTCAGTATTAAATGAGAAACAGTGATATGAAGTTAATTAGATACTAATCGATTCTCATATTCAGGAATCATCTGTCAATGAATTATTTATTTTTTTCAGAAAGATTAGTGATTGTAAATATCGTCAAGTTTTTAAAAAAAAAACTCTCAAATAATGTTCACGGTATGTTATACATTTACGAATATTTCGCTAAATAACCTATGCTTGTATAGTGTAAACTTCGTTATGAACTTATATATACTATACTACTTAAAACGACGAGATCTGAGAATTTAACTTCAGTGTATATATTGAGCGAAGATAGATAGTGGCTAGAAGTGGAGTCAAGGACGCGCGATTCTCCCCATTTGGGACTCGTCAGCTAGATATACCTTATAGCACCTAAGATACATTTGAGTTTGTTTACATCTAATCTGGCTAAGCCCTTTTGTTAGCTTATCTAATGGACAGTCATTCATACAATAACAACCTATCTATATCATTGTACTTTTATTATATACGCTTGAGCATTGCTTATTGCCTACGCATGTATTCACTCCGCTAGCCTTATTATTAATCTCTTAATTGATCCGATGACTCATGCTTTTCCACTCATATATATATATGTACATCTTAATCCTGTTTGCTGCTTGCTCTCTGCTCTGCTCTACGCTACACCGTATTGTACACGTTTACTCACTCATTCGGCTCTCACGCTCACTCGCCTGCTTTACGGCACTGCTCTTTCATGCTTACTTAACGTGCCCGTAATATTGGATACCAGTGTGTGGTTCAATAATAAACGCAATCAGCCCTTCGTATTCGCCTGCTGATTTATACACCGTTAGGACGTTATCGAGTAACGGTTATTAAGACGAACAATATACGACGTTAGGGATAATATCGAATATCGACCACCACAGAATCGGAAGCCTCGCCGAGCGAACACGAACACAGAATTGGATGCCTCGTCGAACGAATACGAACCAGAATTGACGACCTTTACGTACGAACACGAAGCAGAACTAGCGATTTTCGTGTGCGAGGACGAAACAATTTTCGACGAGAGAATCTCATTTCGAAAATTCAACGTACTCTATTTCTATTCGAATTATTATCCGGATTATAATCATAATTGCGGATTTATTATATCACAATTTTAATCGCACGTACATTATCCCAT